CTAAAAAGTATGATAAAAAAGCGAATCATGAGCAGAATTCATTCCCCAAAAGCTTGCCTGAAATGTCAGTTGAATTATTGCAGAATTTATTATTATTATTAACAAAAACTCAAGATCTCCTATATGTATATTTGTGTGTGTCTCTATGTATCAAATTTCTACATATAATGTGCGCTCTCAAACCAATTTGAACTTGGACAAACTTGTTGCCGAAGCAGAACTGCCAAAAGCCAACTTTGTATTTGGTTTGTTAACTTAACTTAACGCCAACAACTGTCTTGCCTGATTTTTATTTTATTTTTCCTCGTCACTGGTCTTTGTTGTTGTTGGTCGGTCGGTCGGTCGCTCTGCTGTGTTATTGCTGCTGTTTTATTGTGGGAATTTCTTGGGTTTTTCAACGCACACCAGCAGCACAGTCGAGCGATCGCAAACACACTCACACGCACGGATACTCGTATTCGCATTCGAAGTCAACGGGTTGTCATATTGTCTTATAAAGCAAAAGCCCCTCCACTTGGCACCCAGATCCCCTTGACTCCTCCACCTCCTCCTTCTCCTGCTTCCCCGCCAAGTGGTCATTGTCGTAATCAAAGCTTTTTGGTGTGTTTCGTTTGTATTATAAAACGCTACTCGTTTTACAACTGAAAGCGATCGATCGTGGGGACACAGCTTTTTTTCCAGCAGAAGCTTTCGGAGAAGGGATCACGTTTCATTCATAACTTGGAGCTTTTCTGATACTCTGCAGTGAGAAATGAAGGAAATGTTGGTATATTTGGAGAAGTAATTGGAGTAGTTGGTGTAGTTGGAATGGTGGAGTATTGGGCGAACTATAAATAGGTTGAGAATTTTAAGAAATAAGTTAAAAGGAGATTTCTATAAATTACAACTTAAATTAAATAATTAAATAAAATAAGATTTAAAACAGTTTATTAATTAAACCCATTTGCATTTATCTTTCTTACAGGTGAGCGCTGCGTACATTTGGCTGCCGAGGCGGGACACATTGATATCTTGCGTATTTTGGTATCCCATGGAGCCGACATTAATGCCAGGGTAAGTTATTAAGCCCCGCTAAGCCACAAATAAAAATCTAAATTAATTAAAAAAAACTTTCTTAATAGGAGGGCAAATCTGGACGCACGCCACTGCACATTGCGATCGAGGGCTGCAACGAGGATCTGGCCAACTTCCTGCTCGACGAGTGCGAGAAGCTCAACCTGGAGACGGCCACCTTTGCCGGCTTGACAGCCTACCAGTTTGCATGCATCATGAACAAGTCGCGCATGCAAAACATTCTGGAGAAGCGCGGTGCGGAGACTGTGACGCCGCCGGATAGTGATTACGACAGTAGCGATATCGAAGATCTAGACGATACGAAGGTGAGCGTCACTGCCTAAGATCAGGGAAGGTTATTGTAGAGAGCATAAGCCACCACCAGCTTCCAAAATGTTCAAAGAAACAGAATCAGAAAAATGAAATAAGCTAGATGGAATTAAGTAAAAAGCAGAAGAATCCACCAAGCGAACTGGTATTCACTTGGAATGAATAAAGGTGTTTCGTTTCACTTGAGGAGCAACTAACACCTATTGTATTGTTAACCAAAAACAAAAGAAAGAAACAAAAAAATATGAAAAACCTGAGAAAAAGAAAGCAGAAGCAGTCAGTATAGTAAATCTTAGTAAACAAACAGCGCAGGGAGTCTATGTTTTAGTAGAACCCAAACAAAAGTGAACCAACAAAGTAACGAACAAACCATAGATGGGAAATGCAAAACAATAATGTCCAATGAACCAACTTTTCTTAACTAAATCTACATCTGTATTAGGATTTTCTATACAATTACGATTAAGCCATGTCCAATGTACACTCGATGTTTGTTGCTATTATTCATTCTCTATCTAAATCTATATGTATTCGTGTGTATGCCTGTGCTCTGTGTGTGTCTGTAACTTTTGTATGTGCGTGAGCGTGTATGTGAACCAGACCGACTAACATTATAGACCCTAGAACTATTATTATACACCTAACTCGATAATGATGATGATGAAAAATGAAATCATAAATTGTAGTATTAAGTTAGCTAAATCTAATTGATGTTTTCATGTTTTCTGACTGAATGAAATGATGTGTTGCAAAAATAAAAATATATTTTACTCAAAATATACAGAAAAAAAACAAGAGATTTGATGAAACTATAAATTTAAATTTGTTGTTGTTGATGTTTGGATCTTAAAGGTTTGTAAACGTCTAGGTTAGCACTTTAATTGTTTACCAAGTTTTGTTAAATTTGTTTGCTTTTTTGGTTGGTTTTTGTGGCTTTATTTTTTTGTTATTCTTTTGATTATGCCTAACCCTTGGTTGATATTCAATTCTAACCCGCTTTATGCTTGCAATCCTCTCTTTTACTTGCAGATGTACGATCGCTTTGGTGATCCGCGTTACTTTGTTAGCTACAACGGCGGCAATCCCATGACGGTTGCCTGAATGCCCCCATCCAATCTGTACATACGCCCTAGACTAATGCATATATACCTATATGTGTGCACCTATGATTATAACACAAACCGAATTCCCGGAGACGGCACGCCCCCTTCCTGCCCCCCGAAAATGTTTGCAAACATATTCCTTGACACACGTTCCCCGAGAAACCCAATGAATGTACTTACTTAGCTACTGTCCATCATCGAGTGGAGCACAGAACCCGCAACCCACTACCCGGAAGCGAATCCAATTTGATTGTGTTAAACGATAGTATTTAGAGAGCGAAATAAAGCATGCAAGAGGATGCAGAGAATGTCAAGCATTTTATTTATACGCACAAAACTTAACTCTAAGCAATAAAAGTATTTGACAAAATTCATAAGTTATATATATATATATCATAGTCGGTGGGGCAATACAGAACATGGAACAAGAAATATTCAATTTAAAAATCACTAAACATTAAATTCTCTACTAATTTCAACTTTAAACAAAGGTTAGATATATAAACTTCCGTTAAAATAGTCTTAACTTAATCTCCTAACGAATGCTCTGCCGAAAAACACTCTGCTTGGCCTTGCTATTAACGCTGGCCGTGGCCTTCTTGGCGGCCAAAGGATCCGGAGCAAAGCAATTCCACAGTCGAAGGGTTTCATCCGCTCCGGCACTGATCACAGTGCTGCCATCCGGTGACATGGCCATCTGCAATACTCGCGACGTGTGTCCAGTCAAGTCTGCCTGCTTTACCATCGTTGGGTACTTCCAAATGGTCAGTTGGTTGTTGGCGAATCCATGAGCAGATATCAGCTCCTTGTAGTGGCGGGAGAAGAGCAGGGAGCAGACTTGCGACTTGGAATCCACGGATTTCGTGAGGGAGCCATTGTTTACATTCCAGAACTTGATGCAACGATCGGCTGTTCCGCCGCCAGAGGCCAAGGTATTTGGCTGCCACGGACACCAGGCCAAGGCACGCACGGCAGCCTGATGTTCATTGAATTTATGCAGCGGATCGGTGGCCGTACCCACACCACTGCCGGCCAAAGACCACACATTCACCAGATTGTCATTGCCTCCACTGGCCAAGTACTTGAAATCCGTGGACCACTTCAGGCCGCACACCTCCTGAGTGTGTCCCGCCAGGGAGGAGAGCTTGTGCTCCCGCGCACGGACATCGTGGTGGACAATGGTGCCGTCGCGACTGCCGGAGGAGACCAGGAATGAATTCCAGGCCAAGGATCCCACTCGGGCACTATGACCATCCATCACACGCAGTCTCTTCACCTTCGAACAGTCCCAGAGCTCCACGGCACCAGTGCTGTTGCCAATGGCCAGAATCTGACCCTCTGGAATCCAGGACAGAGAGCCAGCATAGTCGCCCTCCTCGAACTCCGTCAGCTGCTCAATGTTCCCGCTGGCCGCATTCCACAGATAAACACAACTGCCCAAGGCAACGGCCACGATATTATCACCACTCCAGTCCATCAGGTTGAGATCTGAAAGAGGCTCCATCTTAAGCTTAAATTTATCAGAGTTGAGACATCAACCTACAGTAATCGTTGATGAAGTCCGGTGCATCCAGAATCCTCTCCGAAGTGGTTGGTATGTAGCGCGAGCCACTCTTCGTCGATATGGGTGTCTTTATGGAGTAGACCACCTTTAGAGGATTCGTGTGAGACTCGGGAGCAGCCGGTGCCTTGTTCTGATAACACAAAATACGGCCACCATTGTTATCGTTGTTGACCTGGGCAACATCGGAGATCAGTTTCTGTCGCTCCACTTTGTGGGCCGAGGCCTGGACATTGCTCTCGTTGCTGTTGCTAGTGGTGGCCTTCTCGTTCTCCTCGTCGGACTTCTCGCCAGAATCTTTGTTGACCTATCCAAGGATACAAATGGATTTCTAGGAACTTACTAACCCTTTTATACTTACCAAAAAGTGAGCCAGCTCAAAGTTGGTGGCAGCTCGATTCGGGATAAATCGATCGCCACCGCCAGGCGTTTTTGTTGGCGTGGCTTGGGATTTCTTGGCCTTGCCCTCGCTGGTCTTTCCCGGCGTCTTTGTGGACACCTGGACGCCCGAGAAGCTTGTGTTGTACGAGACGGACAGCACCGATCGTGTGGTATTGGCGCTCCCGTTGAGCGACGCCTCCAGCTTCTTCTTCCAACGCGGTGCAGGTCCGCGCGTCTCCCCGTCCATGATCAGTGCATTTTGAAGGTCGCTTACAAAATTGAATTGTGACATGTTTTGTCGGCGTTTGTTGGTCTGGGGTGTCAGGTAGTTTCTATTTATGTATCACACAATTCTCGGTAATTGCACGAGCGTCGTTTGAGGATCATAGATTGCTTAGATCCTAAAAAATTCGATCGATTTCCTTCGGCTTTTGGTAATGGCGGTTCGATTCGGAAAAGAAGTGTGACCGCACGAGGATAACGGTGAGAAGTATTTTCGCAGGCAGGAGAAAATAAAAAATACTGAACATATATCGATACTTTTGAAAACGAACGATGATTGAGATTATCTATGTTGAAATCGAATCTTTCCCAGCTCTATTACAAATTGGAAGCCGAATTTTTTACGTAAATAAATTAGCAAGTCATATTGTTTAGAACTTTATGCTGAGCTGCCAGGCGATATAACAGGATGGCTTTCAACTTCACCGCCTTCACGTACATAGTGGCCCTGATCGGGGATGCGTTCTTGATATTCTTCGCCATATTTCATGTGATTGCCTTTGACGAGCTGAAGACAGATTATAAAAACCCTATAGATCAGTGTAACAGCCTCAATCCGGTGGGTATTAAAGCACATATTCTTTGCATTGCAGTCCAGTTGAGTAAATGCGATGTCTTTTCTTTCCTTAGCTGGTTTTACCGGAGTACTTGCTGCACATCTTCTTAAATTTGCTGTTCTTATTCTGCGGCGAATGGTTCTCGCTGTGCATCAACATACCCCTCATAGCCTATCATATTTGGCGGTAAGTAAATCATGTTACACGGGAGTAGTATTATTTTGACCTGTGGTAGTATCTGTGCCTGAGTATATCTAGGTACTTACTTCTAAAAGTGTGTAGCCGGCTTATCTACATTTGTTAATTGAAGAACGTCCGAAGATAGATTACCAGCGTTCCACATTTCATGCTCATTTAATTAAATTACAAATACACTTGGAATATGCTGGCATTCAATCCTTCAAAATTATTATAGTTATTACAACAACTCTCAAGGCCCATAAATAAGCTCCCCCCGTTTATGAACGCTTGATTGAGTCATGCTTAATGCGACCACTCCCATATATTGCAGCTACAAAAACCGCCCGGTGATGTCTGGCCCTGGACTGTATGATCCCACCACGGTCCTGAAGACGGACACATTGTCACGGAATATGCGCGAGGGCTGGATCAAGCTGGCCGTCTACTTGATCAGCTTCTTCTACTATATATACGGGTAAGTTGATAATAATTATTAGGGCAATCGAGGGCCATCGTTTTCGTCTAACCTTTCTCGCTAATTTTAGCATGGTTTATTCGCTCATCTCGACATAGAGGCATTGTGGCAGCTGCCTGGGGATCTCATTGTTGGCGCCAGCGCATCCGCATCGTGTATTAGTTGTCATACTCGGGTCAGAGAGACGATTGCCCATAATAACCCACGAACAATACTTCACTTGTAAATTTGAGTCAAAAACCCATAGAAAGACATCTAGAGCAGTGTTGTTTTCTTTTATAATTTTTAGTCTATTTTGTGTGAAGTTGGAGATTGTAACGTATTTTAATTATTATTATTTTTATTTGCATTTCGCTTCCTTGGTGTGGAGTTGGAACTTAAGCACATTGAATAAAAAGTCGAATTAAAAATAATGCCTCTTTATTTTTTACTCCATGTGTAGCTTGAAGGACAGTGGATTTTTCGACTAAACACCAGCAGCAGCGGCACAACACACTCTAGATAACAAAGATTATAAAACAAAGGTATTAAGCCTTATCATTATCAGCATAATTTAGGCCACATTTTTACCTTTCAGCAAGTTCAGTTAAAAAACAGCTTTCATGTTGTACATTTTTATAACTTTATTATACAATCGGTTCCGGGTAGGCCACAGCTTGGAATAAACAATATTGTGATTGAAACTTGATTAAAATTAATAATTGCTGTATACAGAGGGAAGAAGGTACGTGGGGCAAGCAACCTGCTGGCGACAACTTCGATTATGACATAAAAACAACAAAGAACAGGAAGAAGAATATGAGAACGCCGAAAATCTTGATCATAAGCCAGCGATTCTTTGAGACGGACTGAAAATACTTGAGGATTTCGCCGTGGGCCGCCTCTATATTCAATTCCGCATCCGCCACATTCGTGTCTATCCTCTCCACGATCTCCTCCTGCTCCTTGACCATGTGCGCCAGCTGCTGGAAAATGCCGCCCAGCTCAACGATCGTAGATTCTATATTTTGCATGGTTTCCGCCCGCTGTTGGACGTAATTGTCCGACTCATCGTAGATGGCCATCTGTGTCTGGGTGGTAGCCAGGAGCGGAGTGGTGTCACTGCTGCCCATGTCTATGCTCACAGCCTGGTTCTCCTCGCTGAGGAGCAGGGATCCTTGCTTCGCAGTCGACGGTGAGACGGTGTGAGCGGCCAATGGACCTGGTCCCTGGCTAAACTGATCCCGTCTAGTCTTCTGTTGCTTTAGGTTTTCCGTGCGCACCTCCAGGATCTGCTTGAAGTCCGTGCTCATGCTGGCCAACTTGGATTGCAGGGCCAGTACCATGTTCGAGGAATGTGACACCAAGTGTTTGCCATTTGTATGACGCCGCTGGTCCTTGGAGATGTCCTGAAGTCGGGCAATCTGCTGGTTCAAGGCATTCAGGTCGCCCTTGATGATGTACGTCAACTCCTGGATCTCCTGCGGTCTGTCGTCGAAAAGGCTCTTTTTCTTTGCCACTGAAATAGAGAGCGATATTAATTACGTTTCGGGTTTCAATCTAAGAACCTAAAAGTACTTACACATGGTGAGCTTTTCCAGCTTGGCGTAGGTGCTGGCTATGTTCTTGCCAATGAACCTGGCCACCATCATGAACTCCGAGTAGCTCTGAACCTGCGTGGCCTTCCGAGGATCCCGGATGTTCACCGCCCGTGTGATGTTGCGTGCCTGCAGCGATCGAATCGCGTTGGCAAACTCGCCTGTCCGATCGCGGGCAGCCATGATGAAGACCTCTGGTTCGGGTTCCGGATCGAAGTGGTCTTCTTGCTGAAACTGTCCAGTGGCCGAGATGCCGGATGCGGGATTGTAATTGTAGTTGTTTTGGCTATTGAAGTTTGTGTCCGGTTGGTTATTTCCGGTGACCACGGCGGCAGCGGCACTTAAGGTGCGCAGAGCCTGGCCAGAGAAGGCGCGCAGATTCCACTGGCGGGCCGCCTTTCCGTACTTGTCGTCCGAGTCGGGTGCGAGCGATTGGCCGGACTGGGCGTCACCGATGTGAATGGCCGCGTCGACGGACGCCTGGGGTTGCTGTGGATAACCAAGAGGCTGCACTAGTAGTCCTCCAGATCCGCCAGCTGGTCCTAATGCTGCGCTTGCGCCTGATCCTGTCTGATGCTGATCCTCTCCCGTTTGAATGGTATAGGTGCTGCTGCTGCTGTAATCCTGCTGATCCGTTTGATGGAGTCGTCTTCGAGTTTGCATCTCATCTCAGATTGGAGCTTGTCCCCGGGAGTTGACGTTGCTGATTTTCATATGCACACACAAGCGATCTGTTGGACTTTCCTTCAGAGTGGCGAAATTTTCCTCTTTGTTTTTCGCAGGCAAATCACTGGGTTTCCTTTTGGTTTCTGTCCCGGAACTCAATTGGCAATCCTGTGTGTCCTAGACAATGTATAATGTGGAATTTTGTATCAGCATTTTCCTTGGGGTTTCGACTAACTAGTCATAATAATTAAAAAAAATATTGCAGAAAACTCACTAACACGCACGCACACACTCTCACTCACTCACACACACGCACCCATACGACCTCAGATGCCAGATGACGATGACGTGTTGATATCTAGCACCTATCGATAGGCATCAGTGGTGGCGGAGTTCTAGCCATTTTTTGTAATATAATTAAATACAAAAATAATTAACCTCTTACATTAATTTAGAAAATATATATTTTTTATTTTATAGAAGCACAATAAACCAAAATAGAGAAAGGATTAATAGTTTTGTGAAAAGCTTAAGCTATTTTCTGTTCCCAGATCTTTTTCCGCTAAAATCAGCTATTGTTCCCCAGCATCACTGACAGGCACCTATCGATAACCAAAGGCGAGCAACGCTAGTTTTTTTCTTTTCAACTTTTAATTCTTAATTAAAGCAAAATAACTATAGTTTATAAAAGAAAATGACGTTGTATCACTTTGGAAATTGTGTGGCCCTGCTAACGCCGTATTACTTCACCTACAAATACTCCGGCCTGTGGGTTTTGAGCACATTTAGCGCTTCTTTGCTCCAGATCAATAAAAATACAATGTCTAAATTGTCCCGGTTTCTTGCAGATCTGAATATGGGGCGTTTTGGAAGTGCGTGCAGGCGGGCGGCATTTACATATTTACTCAGCTCTGCAAGATGCTGGTCCTGGCCACATTCTTCTACTCGGACAGTTCTTCCTCCAGCGGCGAATTCAACTTCTTTGCGGTGCGTGTGCGCTTACCCTCTATTTACCCAATTATTAAGGTTAAGTTGTGTGTGCTCGCTCTTAAATTTACAGGAGATCTTCCGCTGCAGCGTGGACATTGCCGATCTACTTGGATTTGCCCTGATCCTGAGTCGTATTCCTGGAAAGGGACACTCCAAACTCATTACAGCCGGACTCGGATGTAGGTCAATCGAATAACCTAATTAGGGTCCTAATCTTTGACCCCAATCTAAATTCTTGTATCGTATGAATTTGTTTTTAATACGAAGGTTCCTCTTTATATTCCCTCAGGGGCCACTGCAGAGGTGATTCTCTCCCGGGGCATCATGCTGTGGGTCGGAGCCCGAGGAACCGAGTTCAGCTGGATCTACATCCTGAAGTGTCTCGAGTCGAACGTGCTTTTGGTCCAGCACATAACTACGGCCACCCTGATCTGGCTGTTTACCCGTCACGATCTGAACAAGGCGCTGAAACCGTTGGTCAGCCTGATGCTGGCAGTGACCGTGTTCAAGGGTGTTTGGCTGGAGGGCATGCTCCACATCCTGGCCATTGGACCTTGGCTGACGGTGGCTGTGAAAGCGCTGGTAGCTGCCGTAATTGGATTCTGCACACTGCACATTTACTCGGGTCTGGCTCAGCAGATAGGCATCTAAGCGATTGTGCCAATAATACAATGTATTCCTTTTGTTTTGTAACTTGTTTATTATTTTTTTGGTGTTGTCACAGAGAGAGAATGAGATTGTGTAACGAAGGACAACTGGTACGGTTTAGAGAATTATCAAAAATGTTAATGAATTATAACGTAATAGTAACAAAGAAATGTACAAAAGTTTTTTAAATGAATTTAAGGATTTTGTGACGGGAACAATATACGTCAGTTTAGCCTAATTATAGTAAGTAAGTAACAAATGATAGCGATGATCAAAAAACAATGATTTATAGTCTCTTTCAGACTGGTTAAAATTGTTGTAGTAAATCTTGTGTACTACCTTCAATAATGAGCCTGTTGGACTCAGCGCCAAGTTCTATTCTGTCCATTTCAATGGAGTTTGGCTTCGTGGAGATCTTTATAAACTTATCCCGAGTCAGATCTGAAATAGAACCCTTCTTATTAAATGTAGTATATAGATTTTGTGTTTTTTAGACTTACACAACAAAAAGTTAAAGGCAAGCGATGCCTTAATACGATCTTGAAACGATAGGATAAATTTATTGGCATCAATTCCATGAATTTCGGGATTATTGCGCCAAATCATTAGTAGATCCATCATCACGGAGTAAGCATCTAAGAGAAAAATTGACAATATTTGTTTAAAATAATATTTATTAGTCTATATATATCTCACCAAAATTATTATCTTTATAGCCTATGGTATATTTTAATGTACTGCTATTATTATTGCTTTCAACAACTGGAAGCAGCAGTGGAGGAGTTAAGTTAATGTCCTCTTGTTCCTCTGGAACAACGGGCTGAAAAACAATATTTTTTTCTTTTATTTTCCTGCTCTTAAGTGGAGCGAAAACCTCCTTGACCAGATCCTCTGTGAAATCGACCCCGAATATGCTTCTAAGGGTAACCTCAGATTGCTCATCTTCGGTTAAAGTAACGGGAGATATTTTAATAACATCTGGAAATACTGAAATTTTCTTATTTAGTTTAGTTAACAGGTCCTCGGCTGTTTTGCGCCGTTCGAAAGACGTTGGAATTGCCACAACTTTTTCTTTAAGAAAAGTTTTCTCCCTCGGCTTCTTTCGAGAATATTTAATGCACTTGTCGATAATTAGCTTCTTTCTGCGAGAATTTGTTGATTTATTTTTATCAACAGTAACAGGTTGAGTTATTTTAACGCTGTGCGTTGTCTCAATAGTACTGTCATCAAAGGACATTCTCCTTGATGGAGGTTCAAAGAACTCCAGTGGAAGCGATGGTTCGCATACTATGTGAGTTATATCTGATTCGTCTATACCACGGCTATCTACTGCAGGATAGTTTGTGGTCGATATAGCGCTGTCTTCTTGGGAAGTGTCCAGTTCAAATAGATCAGCATCCAATCTGGGCATTTTCGCTGGTAAAATGTCAGTTGAAAAGCGATTTGTCAATCGTCGTTTGGCTAAATTTAATCAAGGATTAGTTGAACAAACAATTATTTGAATTGAGAACTCATTACCAGAATATCGTGGATACAGTTCATGAAAATATGTTAAATCCGCTTCGTCACTGCTTCCAAAGCCCTCGCTTGGATAAATGTTCGACTGCTCCTCGTGAATTTGGAATTCCTCGGTTATGGTAATTTCATGATATGAACTCACTTGAGTACTATTTCGAGGTAGCTCAATGGACTGAGAATAATAAAATAAATGTTAAAAAACTTGCCTTATAAACTGATTATTCAGACCCACCTTCTCTAGGTTAACCTGCTGAGTGCATTCCGACTGCCACACCTGACACTCGGATAGCATATTTGCATAGTAATGCTGCATAGGTTCACTGAGCAGATCGGATTCGTCCAATCTGAGCCGTTTGGAGATCATCAGTTTGCTCTTCTTGGTAATTACAGCCTTACGCTTACGACTGGTTTGTAACACTGATTTCTTGGTTGTCAAAACCAAGTCAAAGCTGTTGCCTTTTATTTGATCCAGCAAATGTTTGGTGTCCTCTAAAAAGGATACATATGTATATATATACAAGAGACTTCCTTTAGCAAAGTACTTACCCAAAAGCATATCCACCTGACGACAATATATACTTGTGACACCGCAAGTCAACTGCGCAAAGTCCTTGAAATGGTGGTACAGTTGGTGTTTTGAGGCCACCGAATGGGAACGTTGTATCTCTGATGTCTTTTTCTGCACCAAGGAAGTGATTTGCTTGCTTAAAAGTTACACAAATCGGTCGGTAAAGATCACTGAAGATATGTATAAACATATGTATGCACTAACCAACAGGCCACAGTATCCACAGCGGCGATTTCTGTCTTACTGAATGAAGAAATAAGAGCTTTCCGGGAACGGCAGGCTCTGCCCACTCTCCAGCAGCTTTCCAGAAGGTTATCCTCATATTGATTCAAATCAAGCGTACGATCCTGCATGTTAACTACTCAGGTCCTGCTTACATTTTGGGAGATCACTATTTATTGCAAAAGAATTGCAATTTGCCAATTGGCGCGGAAAAAAACAATGGGCAACTGATCCAACGGTACTTTCGGCAGCCCTGGTTTGTTAGAGATGAGAAGAGCAATCAGTAGATCAAGATCGATATTAAGCAATTAATATCGTTTGGGAAATAAATTAAATTAAATAACAAGTTGTTATTTACTTTGGTACAAAAAAGTACTTATTGGATTATATTATTAACTTGTTTTTAGTGTACTTTAAAAACAACTTTTAATTTGTTTGCATTCTTATACAGTTCATACAGAGCAACGTTATTAGTTTAATATTAATTAGTTTATATATTAAAAATAAAGATATTAAAATAAAGAACAATACAAAATGCATATCCATGGCTTCCAAATAGCTTTTAGTCGTTTGAGGTTCGCCCATATATCAGCGATATATTAGGAAATTTAGACTTTTAATCGTATAGAGAATACATGGTATTTTTTGGCGTTCAAAACACGGTCATACTGCAGGTCGGTTAAACATTTTCAGCGAAGCAACAACAAAAATTAAACGTAAATATTTAAACGGTTAATCGCTTAAAAGTGATATTTAGACGCCACGACAACTGCCAAAGAATCCGCAGGCGTACTCCCCGATTTCCCCAAAAAAATAACTAAAAAGCTATGGTAAGAAAGTGCGATTTAAGAGGAAATCAATTACGACAAATGAAAACATGACTAATGAAGGAGTGTGGGCGTGTTTTTGTTTGTGTTTTTTTTCGCTTGCTGATTGCTGTTTTATGATAACTTTGGTGATTCCTGGAGCCACTTATCAATCATAATTTATTTCTGTTTTCTTTTTTCTGCAGGGTGATAACAAAATATGCGATATAAGCAACGAAGTTCTGGAGGAGTTGAAGAAATTTCGATTCAGCAAGAGTAAAAACAATGCGGCTTTGATATGTAAGTTCACATTGCCATGGCTACGGGCGTCATCATAGCCCCGGGGGAACTTGGCTCTATAAGCGGAACGAATTAAGCGCTGATTGATGACTTTGGTTTTTTATTTCATTATTTTTTTATTTTAGTGAAAGTCGACCGAGAGAAGCAATCGGTGGTGCTAGACGAGTTCATTGATGACATATCGGTGGACGAGTTGCAGGACACTCTGCCGGGACATCAGCCCCGCTATGTAATTTACACATACAAAATGGTGCACGACGATCAGCGCATATCCTATCCGATGTGTTTTATATTCTACACGCCGAGAGATAGTCAGGTGAGCTAGGATTTTAACCAGCAAGACGGACCTTGATGTCCTTAGAGCGCTTTGCTTCTTTTCCTGAGAAAAATAATTATATATTTTTTCAATTCCAGATCGAACTACAAATGATGTACGCCTGCACAAAGAGCGCCCTGCAGCGTGAAGTGGATCTCACCCGCGTCTATGAAATACGCGAACTGGACGAACTCACCGAGGAGTGGCTAAAGGAGAAGCTCAAGTAAACGACGGAGTAAATGGGATCCAATCATTCCACGCCGTTGTTCATTGATCAAAGCAATATTTTATGAGATAACTCTCTGATTCGATTTTGGAGCTTTTATAGACATATTCACAAACTGGATCAAGCCGATACCAACGATGCATACCAATACCAAACAAACCAATATTGAGATACGACAATTTTTTACACTCAAAAAACACAAATCAAGCTAAGTTTATATACAAAGTAAAATGACAATTTTATATAGAAGACAATGCATGCGGTATGTGTGCGGATAGGGATTTTAGTTCTTGCATTTAAGCAATAATCTTTATAGAAGCTGTGCTTGCCAAATTTCTACATACATGTATTTATTTGTAAAGATATGTAAAAGAAGCAGACATGACAAGAAATATTCCATTTTAAACGTAAATATTATAGACGAAAGAAAATAAAAGTGTTCAATATTAGAAACCTAAAAAGGCAGAGACATATTTAAAACAAAAAACAGGAAAACAGAGGTCCATTTATATATTTATCTTAATAACTAATATAAATAATATTAGTAACTAATAATACTTTAATAATGCAATCTCTGGGCCGCCGTGTGATGCAGCATTGTATAACGTCCGTCACTAGGCGTGGGCGGCGGAGGTGGCGGTGGTGCTAGCATATGAGCCATGGCAGCCATTCCCATTTGGGTGGCGGGATTCGGCGGTCCCAGGTGATGCAGTGCATCATGATGGTAGTGATGCGACATGGGCGGTGCTGGTGGCAGCGGAAGATTCAGCAGGTTGTTGTTCGCCGCATGTGTGCGGAAGTGCAAACTAAGGTTATCGGCCGTGTCGAAAGCCTTGTCGCAATCGGGACACTTGAAGGGGGCATGATCCAAGGTGTCCAAGCCCACAGGATCGGTATCGATGGCCTCGTCATCATCGTCATCCACTATATCATGACTCGTACTGGACTCCAGCGGATGAAGCTTTAATTTATGGGACCGCATGTCTCTGCGCCGGCTGAATGCCTTGCCACAAACATCGCAGTGGTGGTTCTTGATGCCCGTATGGGTTAGCATGTGCTTAGAAAGATCTCCAGCGGTATAGAAGCCTTTTTGACACAGCGAACAAATCTGATCCCTCACCCCCACATGGATCTTTTGGTGGGCTTGGAAATTCCCCAGAGCGGAGAACTGTTTGGAGCAGATTTCACACTGGAAGGGTTTGTCCCCCGTGTGGGTCCTTTCGTGCACCTTAAGGTTGTACTTCTGGGCGAATCTCTGTATGCAGTAGGTGCACTGATAGGGCTTCTCCCCCGTATGGGTCCGAATGTGCTGTGTGAGCTGGGCGATGCACTTGAAGCTCTTGTGGCACTCGTAGCAGGTGTGCGGCATCTTTGCCACTGGCTTCGGTCCCCTTTTCTTGTGCTCCTCTGGGGGCTTTCTTTGATAGCGCGATCGTCTCTTGCTCACTTTCGTATCCACCTGCTCCTCCTCGTCGCTATCGCGTTGCATGATGGATGGCTTCTCCACGAAATCCGTGTTGGTGGCAGCATCCTGGCGCCACGATTCGAGGATGCCCAGATACTGGCGCAATCGAATATCACTGTTTTCGCATTCCTGTTTGAAGTGGAAGGCCACTCCCAGCCGGTAGATACAATTGTTGCAGATCACCGAAGGCAGGCCATCGGTTTTGTAAACCTGAAAGGATATACACATGTATTTAATTCAAAAGGACCAGTTTCTGAATTGAACAAAGCTGTGATTACGATTTTGAGTTTATTTAATAATATAAATTAATTTAATTTTCAATATTTATGTTAAATAATTGAATTTGTTTCTTACTCGAATTTTGGCACACTGCATCAGCATTACCGAGGGCATCATAGCAAAATCTGTGCTATAAATGGAAGTCACCGAAATGGGATTCACCTCCTCCAGGCAAACGCGACAGATTTTGTGAATATTATAATCCATATTTAATACAATTAAATTAAATCAACAAATATTTATTTTGTTTGTTTTCAATCCAACTAACAGCTGTTACGACCAGGGCTCTGCAAATACGTGTTATCGTGTTATCGATAATAAGGCCTAAGAATATTCACAGAAATGAAGAAATTGCATAAATAAATCCACAAAAAAAATTGTAAGCCGAGTTGTGTAGTCTTAACAAATAATAATATTATTTAATAAATAATATTACGGAATAAATATTTCTTACAAATAAATAAACCTAAAACCAGGGCTGCACTAGCACCTACAATGCCAGCGAAATGCACTACTTAGGAAAAGGTATGACCTTCTTTCGTTTAGCGCTGACGTGACAGTTGATTTGTTTGATTAAAATAAAATAAAATAAATAGGCGCACTTAAAATATTCATTACGGCGAAATCAATCAATCAAAGCAGGCGCCGGAATCGAAGAAGCTGCCCGCGAACGTGGTAGAAGCACGGAGAGAGCGAGCGGAGCGGGGCGACAGTGAGAGCGAGCAAACGCGAGAGAAACTTGGGACTCCACGGGTGAAATTTCGTGGTTTTATGGAGCTGCAGAGGCGCCCCCCTATATAACCAACCACCCCCTCAGCACGCCCCCCACTGGCAAGATGCTGTGTATACAATATTAGCGATTATTGAAAGCACACGCACACACGAGAGCACCTGGGAAAAGAGCAGGAGACAGACCAGGAGGAGACGGTGGAGGAGCGAGAGAGTGGGGCAGCGGCAGCAGCAGCAGAAGCAGCAGGGCAGCTCGGCAGCAGAGCAGCGTATGTGCCGGCATCCGAAAAAAACACTATTTAATATTGAAGCTTTTGTAAACAATTCGCTTTGCTCTGGAGACCAAGGTCAAACACACACGGCAAGTTGGTGAATAAGTTTCGCTGCGAAGTGCCTGTCAGTAGACCCGTGCAGCTTGCAATGGCAACAACAACGACGACGGCCAGAAGAGCCGGCACCGAGGAGGAGGAGGACACCACCTCACAGCTGTTGTCCAACGGAAACCCCACCACCAACACCACCACCACAAATGGGAAGGCAGGCGGTGCAGTGAGCAAAGGGCAGGAAATCGGAACAGGTGCAGGTTCAGGCGTAGGACCAACAGGATATTCACCCACATCCGGCACCTTTATGAAACTGAAAACCTATCTCTTAGCTTTGCGTCCCTGGTCGTTATCCGCCAGCTTGGTGCCAACGCTCCTTGGATCCGCACTGGCCTACCGCTCCCAATGGTCGGCGGAGTTCTCGCTGGCCACCTTCTTCCTCACCGCTTTTACTGTGGTCACGGTTCACTGTGCCGGCAACGTGGTCAACACCTACTTTGACTTCATCAAGGGCATTGACAAGCAAAAGGCCGACGATCGTACGCTGGTGGATCATATTCTCACCAAGGATGAGGTAAGTTCTCGGCTCGATCGCTTGATATTGTATTAATTGCTGTTCGATTAACCCTGTAAAGCCCAGAACAGTATTTTATATTTTTATATGTAAAATGTTAATATTTCAAATTAGTGTTGAGGACCGTGTGGAATGCACAGGCAAAGGAATTTCTAAAAATGAATAAATTTGTACAAAACACACGTTCAAAGGTCTTAATTGGCATACCCATAATGAATATATAAAATCAAGAGCTAAATGTTCAGAACTATTTTTCGTCGTTAATTTCATTTTTCAATTATTTCACGAAATTCTCCGTATTTGAACAACTTTAGCCTTCTTTATTTTGGTTTGCATTCGACACACATATCCCATGGTATATAGTATATTATTGATTAACCAAGAAATTGTTAATTATTTCCAATTGCTCCGTCTCGATGCGCTGCAAATACTGGTGTTCACTCTTCAGGCGCTCCAGCTCCACGGTCTGCTCGTAGATCTGACTCTGATAGACCTGCTGCTCGCCCTGGCGCTGCTTCGATATGGTTTTCAGCTGATTCTGAGTGCCGATAGCCCGAAGCTTCTCCTTGTCGACATCTTTTGCAAAAGTCTCAGATATTTTGTAAAAGTCAGCGGCCAATTTCTTGAACAATTGTAAATTCTTGGAGTATTCCAAGCACTCTTGCCGCAATTCGCTTTTTTCATTGGCAATGCTGGGGTCCTCTACGCGCAGTCTATAGATATCATCGATAAAAAGTCCAACTTTTTGCAGTTCCTCCATCTTAAAGTGAACGGTTTGAATGGGAAAAATGTAATAGGTTTGTTGTGGATAAGGCTTTGGTTGTTAATGGCAACGGAATGGCTTGAGTTTTTAGTACATATTCTTATATTTAGGTACAACTTTGGTAGTCACCCTTAGTAAGGTGTTATTGGAGAGTCACGGGTATATGTATGTAGATATGGTTTTAATTAATAAATAAATTAATTAATAGATAATTATAATTAGGTTTTCAACATATAGCTAAAAAGGTGCCTAGTTTAGTGTATATATTTTTTATTTATTTAAAAAAGTATCATTTCGTATATTTTTATGATTAATTTAGGATTTATATACCTTAATAGTTAAACCTTTTATTTTATAAATGTTATGATCTTATTTATTATTATTATTACTTAAAAATCCCTTGATTAATTTCACCAGAAATTAAATTCTTTTCCCTCTGATTTTTGACTAAAAAATCGTGCTAAAATCATAGATGGTTTTATGGCTCCAGTTGTTTTGAGGTAGCAACTTTTTATATTAATTATCTATCTACTAATTAATAACGAGGACATGAATAATGCAAAAATTATTTATAAAAACATCACGAAACATCACCATTAAAAAGGGTAATCGATATTCTGTCTGATATATAAGACCAATAAAATCGTTAAAAAAAGATAAATAAATTAACCCTCCAACAGAAATGTATAAATAATAAGTGGGGCTATAAGCATTATATAAAAAATGTTCTTATACTTTTAAATAAAATCGATTAAACCCGATATTTTTCGATATTTCAAATTATGGTATATAAAACTTAACAATATTTTGGATATAAGTGCGATATTTTAGTCATTTGTAGACACTCTGGGGCTTTATAGAGTTAAGTAACAGACAATTAATTCAATCGTTTAACACCATTATAAATTTTGATATGTTTATTAATATTTTTCAGGTGGTTTCGCTGGGTGCCATTCTGTACATGGCCGGCTGCGGTGGCTTCGTTCTGCTGGCGGTGCTCAGTCCGGCGAAAATGGAGCATTTGGCGCTGATCTACTTTGGCGGTTTGTCGTCGAGCTTCCTGTACACTGGCGGCATTGGTTTCAAGTATATCGCCTTGGGTGATCTGGTGATACTGATACTGTTCGGACCCATCTCTGTGCTATTCGCGTTTATGTCCCAAACGGGTCACCTGGACTGGACGACAATGGGCTATGCCATTCCTTTGGCCCTCAACACGGAAGCAATTCTGCATAGTAATAATACCAGAGATGCGGATAATGATCGTCGGGCTGGCATTGTTACATTGGCAATATTGATAGGACGCACTGCCTCGCATGTTCTATACGCTATGCTTCTCTTTGCCCCCTATTCGCTGTTCTTTATCTTCGGCCTAAAGTACTCGGTGTGGTTCCTGCTGCCACTGGTGACCCTGCCGCAAGCCTTTCAGATTGAGAAGCGATTCCGCAACGAGCAGACGATGCATCTGGTGCCGCGGCAAACGGCCAAGCTGAACTTTTTCTTCGGCATCTTGTACATCGTGGCCTGTTGCTGTGCCCAGCAATTGCCAACCTTTGGATTCCGTAAGCATTGAGGTGAAAATATATAGATCAGAAACAGAACAGAGGGAAACTGGTGCAACAAGTTTTTTAGGGAATTTCATTAGTTTTTAGTCAATCGATGTTTGTAGTGCGAAATCTGTCAATTTCGAAGAGTTTTTGATGTTGCACAAAACTTTCAAAATGCTTGCTAGTCGCCCGTTAGTGTCTAAACTTTTGAACTGAACATATCCTAGCCCTATAAATATTCAAATCCTTGGGTGGGTCGACTCATTTGACGCGGACTCTAAGGATATATCGGAGAGGTTTTGCAATGGAGAGACTGTGGGTTCTGAAATAGCTGTTTCTATATGGGACCTGCAGTTTATTTGTTATAAAAATCTTCAATATCCTTTAACTTCCTACCTCCCCTACAATATCGACCCCCTTAACAACCACTCGTTTCTATTTATTTCACATCATCAATCTCTAATCTTAACCCTTCACCGACGACTCAATGTAAGTGTAATTAATAATCATACTCTTCCGCTCGCGCGTTGGGAACATTACGGACCAAGCAAAGTGTAATCGGTAATAGCTAATGCGGACACAGTTTTTTATTATTCTGAAATATAAACCATATATATTATTATCACAGCAGGGTGCAGCAGTTACTTAAGTTTTCGCGAATCAAAATGCAGATTTACTTTACAAAATGATAAGAAAAAGTGCTTGGAAATGCAGCTAAGTTGAACGTTTTTTGGCAATGCTTAGCTGGCTTGCTTTTTGTGTGACAATTGTTAGAGTTTTTACATACATACATATATATTATATACACAATCATATGCATATATATTTATATACACATCTAGATCATATACATAAGCCCAGTGTGTCTAGCGGCAGGCTCAAGAGTGAGAAATATATCAAAGCGAAACATCAACAAACACAAAACGAAACGCAAATTTAAATTTTTAAAGCGAATTATATAGCGACGTAGGGAATGTCAAGGCGAAGGAGCAACCATTGTTTTCCATTAACAATACCGTTACGAATATAAACAAAATAGCTTTAAATAAAATCAACAGGAGAGGAAAAAGGGAGGAGCAAAGCAAACCCATTTGCATTCTAAAATCCATTTTGTTACTAAACATTTTCGTGTGGCAATACTTTTATTTGTACGCTAGGTTTTTTATGTATATTGTCTAAGCTAATCAATCCATCGGCTCATCCATTCTACATATTTGATATATGCATATATATATTTGTACGATTTAGTGCTGAGTTTGCTTAGCCAAAAGAAAAAATGCTTTTTGTTGGAATCGCTGAGGAGCAACCGAATGAAACTAAGTGACAACTTTGTAGACTACAAATCAACCACAACAATAATAATTATAATGATATTGATAATTAAATGTTTAACTAGAGAATATAAAAAACATGAATTGTGTAATATGGTACTGGTGAATATTTTATTTTAAGGGAAGAAAAGGGGATTTTCATGGAGGTAAAATATTTCATTTTTAGCTTTAGCTTAACGTTGCCAAGTTTGAATACAAAAATCCCAATTTTTATACCCTTGCAGGGTATTATAATTTCAGTCAGAAGTTTGTAACGCAGTGAAGGAGACGTTTCCGACCCTATAAAGTATATATATTCTTGATCAGCATCAACAGGGGAATCTTTCTAGATATGTCAGGAAGAAATCGATTTTTTGGCCATTTTTGCGAAATTTTATAAGGGGTTACATCATTAAAATTAGCAAAAATGGCCAAAAATTTGGATTTCTTAAAATTTTAAATTTGGTATGCAGTTTTTTTTTAATTAATAAAAACTAACACAAAACTGCTTTCCGAATCGAAATTAATGCATTTTTTTGCTTAGTTATGATATATTTTAATTGTTACCTGCAAGGGTATACAAACTTTGGCTGGCCAAAGTTAGCTTGCTTTCTTGTTTATAAATAAATTACTCCCACTTCGATAATTTTTTCTTCGTTAATTTGTTCTGAGTTAACAAAAAAGTATACAGAGTAAAAATAATATAATTTGACAACTTTATTTAAGCAGAATTTGTAGAATAGTTTTTCGACTTGAACCTTAACCAATAACCAGTTAAAATTAGGTTAACATTCAACAGAACTCCGCTTCAAACTCCCTGCTCTTCTCTAGCCACCAACATGATGTCGTATGGCTTCACAGCTGCCGTGGCTCCCTCGAGTGGCACCTCCTCCGGCATCTGGCCAGGAATGGCCACCAGCTTAAAGTTCTGCAGCACAGTGGTTGTAAACATAAACAGGTTCTGCCTGCCCAGCAGGTCTCCCATGCAGCGATGACGGCCAAAGCCAAAGGGATTGAATGCCTCTGGCAGTTTCAAATGTCCATCGAAGAGGAATCGCTCGGGATTGAATGCCTCTGGGTCGGGGAAGTCCACGGGATTGATCAGCATGCCTCGGAAGCAGGCAATTACCATGGTATCCTTTGGGATTTCATAGCCCGACAAGCGGGTGTCGCACACAGCTCGATGTGGAATGCCAAAAGTGTGGAGCATGAACATCCTAACAGCCTCCAAGGTGATGGCCTCGCAGTAGGGCAACTTGGAGCGATCCCTGGACCACTCGGGAATTCTTTCCAGACCCACAACCTCCTTGATTTCCCGATAAGCTCGCTCCTGGATCTCGGGCTGCAGAACCAAATGCATAAAACAGAAGCCAAGGCTTTTGTTGGTGGTCTCGGAACCGGCCAGAAACATGTCCAGGCAAATGGCCAGCAGGCTCTCATCACTAAACATGCCCTTGGGATCGTCGCTTCCAGCCTCCTCCTGGGCACGCAGATACGAGTCCATTAGATCCCTTGGCTCATCGTAGTTCTTGTAGGTCAGGCGATGCAGCTCAATCTCCTTGCTCATAAAGGAGTACAGGGATCGATGGCTCTCCACAAAGCCATTGTAGCCAGAGTAATCAGGGGCAATGAACCGCAGCAATGGAAAGTGACTGAATAAAGCACCCACCATATCGATGTTCTTGAAGAGCTCGAAGAATGTCTCCAGGAGTTCCGTGATCTCCGGAGAACCGGGCTCGTATCTCCTGCCGCTCAGCATGCACCAGAGGGTATTCAAGACATAAACACTCGTCAAATCGTGCATCTCAATCCGCGCCTGCATTCCGCCAGCCCTAGCCACCTGTTCCTTGAGGTCCTGCAGCAAGCAGGTGGCTTCATTGTGGACAATATCCATCATGCCGCTTCTGGCAAAGCCAAAGTTTTTTAAATGCCGCAGGATAAATCTTCGCTGCTCCACCCACATCTCACCATCGGTGAGGAGAACACCCAATCGTGAGTTGAAGGTCCTCAGGCGATAAAAGATGCCATCGGGCCTGCCATCTATATCCTCATTGGTCATCATTTCACTGATGGCATCGTTCGTATAGGCTATCACCACCTTGTCCTTGCCAATCTTGAGGCCAAAGAAGCCATAAGGATTCACATATTGCTTGGCAAAAACATCGATCACCTTGCAGAACATTCCCAGGCGGCATCTCAGTTGGGAAACATGCAGGGCACTGCCCACTATGGGATACCAACGAGGTCCTGGCGGAAATCTCTTGGGCTTTCGCACTCCCCCAAACAGGATTGCGAAAAGAGTGGCGCAGAAAATCCAGATGACAGCATAAAACATGTTTTATTTTCCTTTCCTTCGGCTTTCACTTTGCTTTGCTCAGTTGTTATGCAATCCCACTGGATGGTGGTCGAAGTTGGTTTCCTGGTGATCCAGTCCAGAGTCCAGTTCCTGCACCTGACGTTCACCCAAAACGACTGAATCCGCTCGGTTGGTTGGGCCTGGGTTTTATAGATCTCCAGTCGAGAAAGAAAAGCTTTTCCACTTGTTTATGGTGGCTTTTTGAGGCGGGTAAAGTTTTTCCACAAGAGCTGTGACATTGATGGAAAATGGAAGTTGAAAAAGAGATAAGTGGGAGGTTTAAAGACGGGAAACTGGGTCTTTCAGGTGTTCCTGCTACATATATAGCTAGATATTTCTTATTAAATCAATTCAACTAAGGAAAACTAATGATTTTAAATAAATTTTCTGAAAGTTCTCATGGTTCATAATTTGTCAAAGAAATTCTATTTACTTTAATATATTTTTATATTTTATAATGAAAAACTTCAATGGTTTCTATGGACTTTCACCGCAACCTATAATCTTGACCAAAACGGAAAACCTATCCATAAAGAGCCTATGTATTATATATTTTCTCCTGATGGGAAAATGCTGCTAATGAACAACCTCTGCAACTCGAACCATTTCCCCCATTTAAGCCTCAAAGACCCAAATCTTCACCCGTCTGACCCACTGCCTGGCGAACAGTTCAACTACATTTTCCTCAACGATTGATCGCCGCTAGCCAGCCATTTTTAATGGTCATGGACAACACCACCACTGAGCCAACACCGAACCACTAGGCATCGCCAAAGTCAAGGAAAACTTGTTGCGTTAAGAAACTCTAACCGCGAAAAACGCAAATAAAAAAACCCGTTTGCTCCAAATGAAAGGGAAAACAAATGGAGATGTATGTATGTATGGAGGAGCAGGAGGAGCTGCCTGGACAAGTTGACTGGATGGGGCTCTATTATGTCATCGCCATCGAGCTATTGCGGAAAGCGGTGGGATGGACTTTGTTTTGATGATAACTCCGCTGGTTCCGGTTTCTGTGTGGATTTTGGTGGGTTTGGGGTTTGCTTCCAGGCGATCAAAGTGGAGCTGGCATCGATTTTGGCATCCCATTTGCGGCTTTAACATGGACACCACTCGCGGAGATTGCCCATTTGAAGGCTGGCACTCGAGCTGCAAAGACGTGACAGGACAGCGTAGCAAAGCTCAACCAGGATGGGGTTCAGGTAAGCTGTCAAGGAGCTCCAGCCCACCTGGTTAATAATAAACCAAGTGATAATTTTGGGAATTAAAATTAAATCATAGCTATTATAACATTTAATTCAAATTTAATTCCTTCTCCCCTTACAGAGTGATTCTATTGGCGGCCACCGGCCTCGGTGCCATGTACATGATGCATCTGCTGGCCCAGGACTGGGTGAAGATTCGACCCATTCGTGGAATAACCCAGCTGGCAGGAATGGCTGCTCAACCTATTCAAATGGCCATTGCACCCATTCAACAGGCCAGTGCCTCCTTAAACCTTTTTAGATCTAGAAGGGAGGCTAGCTCAAGCCAACCTCATGATCTGGGTTGGGTGCGAAGGACTCAGGATTCAGGAGGAGGAGGAGGAGGAGCTAGGGGCAGAGTATCAAATGGAAGAGTTCAGAGACCTCCACCACCAGCCATCGACTGGAAACGGATCCTCTCTCGAGATCCCTTCGAGTGTCTCCAATCCCTGATCTGTCAACTAATGTCTGGAGCCGAAGCCAAAGTTCCCGAAGCGGAGCTGCTCATGGATTACCTGGAATCATCGATAGAGATGGCCCCGGTAAAGATCGGACGAGCGTTTAGTCGTGGATTGGCCTTGAAGGGTTCCACGGAGCTGTGCTTTAACGAGTATCCTTTTTGCCTGTATTCCGCCAAAACGATGTTGAGGATCCTGCGGTGGTTTAGCGAGACGGGCCAGGTTCCCCTCGAGGAAGTAAATTGAGTAGTTATAAGAGTTTGGCAGAGAGAGAGTGAAAGTGAGGAAGTGTAAGCATTTTTGTTTATTTTTTGAAAAGAGGTGTGAATTAGAGGTTTACGCCGATGGTTAAAGGCATCGGCGGCGGCGTAGAGGTCAAAATGACTCGGCGGCGGCGGCGTAGTAGTCAGAAAGAACCGGCGGCGGCGGCGCGTCAAATAAGGCAAAAAGGCCATTTTAATGAGTTATTTATTTTTTTTTAAGTTTTATAAAGAACAATGACACTGAAGGCCGCGCTGAAGCTGCGCCGATGCCGCACCAGCGGCGCGCCGCGGCGCGCCGTTATTTTCATAATTTGGCGGCGGCGCGTCAAATAAGGCAAAAATCGGCGGCGGCGGCGGCGTGGCGCGGCGGCGTATATGTCTAGTGTGAATGGGAATTAATTATTTAAACTTTGAGAAGCGTTTATTAAAGATTTTATTAAAAAAATGTTGCTTGATTTCTATAGAAATTTTAATTTGTAAAATGAAAACTATAGCTTACCTTTATCAAATAGAAAGAAATATTCATCACAGAGTTTGATTATAGAAAAATGTTATTATTATTAACAATAAAGTTTCCTGTTTGTAGTATGCAAAAATATTCATATACATTCTTTATATATATTACAAATGATTATTTATATAATAATAATATAATAATAAAACGGAATGAAGTAAAAAAGACTCAAAAGCTTCGTCTGTTTATATATATATTTGAGATTTGGGTTGATTTTGTTGCATTAAATAACAAATGAGCGAGCAATAGTCAAGGTAATTGTGTGGCTTTCAAAGCTCACCAAATTAACGAAAATAAGTTAATAAGTTAAATAGTTGGATTCTTGTTTGTTCAACATAATTTGTACATAGTAGTTGTAGAGAGTAGAGTTAGAGAGCTTCTGTTGCGACTTCTTGTTTGTGCACTTTTTGGGGAGATTCTCTTGCTTTGATTTGAGCGCAAAAAATAATAAATACAAAAAGAAAGAATAAAATGAGAACTTAAATTGGAGGGGGAGTGGTTTTTCCACTAAGCGTCACGCTCGTTACATCCTTGACAATCATTTCGGCCACCTGCCAGGCGATCTCCTCCTGCACATTATCCTCCGGCAGATTCACCAGCTTTCGCATGGCATTTTTGATTTTGCTGCCGCTGACACTCAGTGACCATGGCTGCGACTTGAGAGCCACTGCATCCACGGCCTCAAAGTCTCGCTCGTAGCGGCCCAAGGAGTTAACAAAACCGAATTTAAGAGCCCCCACAACAGGGCGCTGCCATAGGAGTTGGGGATTCGTTAGCTGCCGGGCATCGATGTTCAGGTTGCCCGACTGCTGTTGATTTATAGTCGTCTTCGACGGCAGTGTGTCCATGGAAGCCAGAAGGGTGTTGTGCTGTGAGATGTGCGTGCAATCCGTCATGGATAAGGCCTTTCGATGGCGCTGGATATTAGATGTTTTGCCAGTTCTACGCAGGCTGGGTTTTTGTTGAAGGAGATTCGAGGGAGAGAAGCTAGAGTTGTCTGTAAAAAATTAAAGAAACAACAGTTATTATACCCTCTAAAAGATAACAGATAATGTTACCCACCTCTTTTGATCTTCAGTTCGTTGACATAGTTATCAAAAATGTGTGATTTTAGAAAATCGGCAAAGTACTTTTGCTCTAAATACTTGGCCGTAACCAATAATGCCAAGTCAAAGGCTTGCCACTGCTCGCCAGGAGCACAGATGGCCTGTTCCACCCTCAATCGCAACTTTTGCGACATCCACAGGCGGCAATCCGATTGCAGCGAAAAGTATCTGTCGTATATTATCATGGCATCACTCTGGGCTGCCTCGTCCTCCTCTCCTGAAGAGAAACTCTTTCGGAAATTAATGCCCGTGATCCAGAACTCGAGACATTCGCGCTCCTGTCGCTGCTCCAGGTACTCGGTAAAGTAAAATAAAGCCAATTCGCTGTACAACACATCGTAGATATTTATGGAACCACCTTCCACCAGCTCCAGGCAGTAGGTGGAATAGTAGCCGCTCTGCAGGAATCCCAGGACATGATCGCGCTCCAATTGCTCCAACACAAACTCCCTGGCCTCGTCAAAGCAACTGGCCGGTATGGGTTTACTGCACTCGGCCTTGTCTCGCCCGCAAAGGAGTAACGATATGTGCGCCAGTATGACAATTGGCAGCTCCACCTGCAGGCTGGCATTTACTATCAGATACTTTTGGTAGATGGCTATAGCATCGCTGATGCTGGCCCTAGAAAGTTCCGAGGAATTGGGCAGAGATGATGGTCCCGATCCGGACTTTTGTCTATTTATAATCTGCTTGTTGGTCTCGGCATAAATCCGGCTCTTCTCATCGTCTGTCAGGGGTTTGCGCATGGACAGATCGCACAGCGTCTTCAGTTCAGGTACATCGTTGTCACTTTTGTTGTTGTTGTTGTTGTTCAGGGGAGAAGTCGTATCTGGCGGCGGCGAGTTCTCCTCCTCATCTACCTCCGTTTGCTCAGTTTCTTGTGTAAGCGCCGCAGCCCGCTTAAAGTTCTCAATGTCCAGGTAGAATTTGATCAGAGGCAGGGCCTGTCGAGTGTCCAAATACTGCACAAAATAGCTCAGGCAGTTGGGATCGCTGACAATGGAGGCGAGATTCATGGACAAGCGCGAGTTGTAGGTAAAAATATCTATGAAAGAGGATGAGTATTAGTATTTGTACACCCAATTCTAAAGATATCTCCAGGATGTGCATAAATTCTTGCTCAAATGTAATAACATTCCCACCCATTCCCCCGAGTCGAGTTTTTCATTGTGCAAACGTGATAAACAATTGTTCAGGGCGGTAATTACCATCGTTGCTGCACAGGCTGATGCCATCGGACAGGGCTCCTCCTCCACCGCCCTCCTCCTCCACCTCAAGAAAGACCTCATCACAGAAACTGGTTGTAGAGCGCAGCGAGTGACGTTTTTGCGCCACGGCGCCATCCACATCATCGTTTGCGGTGGGTGCGCCGGGGCCTTCCGTGACATCTTGGCTGCTGCGACGGCGGCCTAAAAAATAAAGAAAACAAATTTGGAATTGGTGTCACCACAGCGAAGAGGGGAAAGTGGATAAACTTACTGGCTTGCCTCTTGATGTACTTTAGCATCTTTACATTCTTCGGCTTTGGCTGGCTCCCAAAAGTCTCTGGCGCTGTCAATTGTGCCTTATCTTGCAGTTAAATCTAAGTAATTAATCACTTTATGTATTGCGACTGCCAAATATTATGAAAATACACTAAACAGTGTGGCCGGGCCTGGCTATCAGAAAAAAATCGAAATTCCAATGGGAAGCACCGTTATCTCATGAACGCAAACATGGGCAGCACTGGTTGTAGTATCAGATGTGGTTCGAATATCTGGTGTGGTTCGGTCCAGCGACCAAAAGTGCCAGATCGTCGGTATAGACATGTAAAACCTTGTTTTGACATTTTACCTTGAAATTCAGAGTGACCAAGGGGAAAATATCAAACAAAAATATCGCGATTTCGATATTTGGGCAAAAAATATCGATATCATGTAAACGCTCTCAATTTGGGAATTCCATAAGCAAACCTCTGTTAGGCTCTCAATTTGGGAATTCCATAAGCAAAACCCTGTTAAGCTCTCATTTTAACAGAAAATTCTGTTAAACGCACGCTCAATTTGGGAATTCCATAAGCAAACCTCTGTTAGGCTCTCAATTCTGTAATCGAGAGCATTTCTATGTTAACTAACATTTTGCTTTGAAATTCAGAGTGACCAAGGAGAAAATATCACAAAATATCAAACAAAAACGTCGCGACTTCGGTATTTGGGCAAAAAATTGTATCAGCAACTCATGTCCATTCATGTTCAAACTCGCCGAAACAAACGAACGACGCAGCGGACGAAACGCCGATCGGAAATCGTACAGTGCAACCTAAATACATACACATGTACCAGACGCGCGCGTTTGTGTTTTAGTGTTGGCGGTGGCAATTAAAAAATAAAAAAAACAGCTGCGAAACACCAAATAGCGAAAAAAGGGCAAACTTCTCGACGAAGACGCGCTAAATTGTATTTCGGTGCCTCGTCTGCTCTCTCGCGCTCTCCCAGTGCCGTTTGTGTGAGTGTTGGTGCTTGTCTGTGTGTGTGTGAGCAAAGCAAACGGGCAAACAATTTGCCGCTAATACAAAAAGCAGCTGAAGGCAGCGGCAAAAACCAGCTGACACATCAGCGATCCGCCGACTCTCGCGAGTGTGTGTGCTTGTGCGAAACCCACAAAAGAAAATAAAAAGGCCAGGCGCTATAAATAAAGATCGCGGAGCGCAAATCGCAAAACAGCGCTAATGTTCATGTAGTCCACCGGCGGCGGAAACAGCAACAACAACAGAGTGCACGTGGTTCTTCAAACACCGAATTTTTGGCCACGATAATAACCAAATACACAAACACGATACAATATGTCCGGCGTACCGGTTGCCATCAAAACGGAGGAAGTTATTCTAGAACACGCCGAATACAACAGCGCCGAGGAATTGGATGAAGAGTTGCAGTGAGTTTTACGCTTAAGTGCCACGCCTATCAAGTTACCAAATAAGAATATATACAAGCATAAATGTTTACAAGATAAGGGAGAAGCAGCGGTAGTGGCAGCAACAAAAACAACATCAACAGCTTGGCTTGCATTTTTATCACGCAAATTATTGATTATTTTTTACTACTACGGCTGGCTCTCTCTCCTCGCTTTGCGCGCTCGCTCCCTCTCGCTCTCTCTCCCGCCGTTTTGCCGACAAAACAAATACGGCACATAAACACAGCCACCACCATCGAACAGAGACACGCACACATAGATATTGCATTCCACTTCCATGCCGTTTCTTGTTGCTGGAATAAATGTGACGCTACTTTTTTCGTTTCTGTCTTTCGTGTCGTGTCTCGCTCTTTCACTCTCTCTCACGCCCGTGTCGCTTCCTCTTGCTCTCTTTCTGCCGCCGCTAGTTGTTGTTTTCATACTCTGCCTTTCCTCCCGTCCATATTGTAAAACTGCTGTTTTCTCAATTTGTCAGACGGCAAACACAGTGCCGGCAATAATATTAGGCACTGTGAGGAGCGCCAGCTGCTAAGAAAACGAAGAAGAACGTTATTAAAACTTTATTGTAAATGCTGAATAATAAACCAATTCCTCTAGGTTCGTGCTTACAATAAGAATGAGAAATATATTTTGTGAAGAATTCATTTTTTGTAGATTTATGTTTTTATTTTTACCATTTTCTTTTGTCCCGAATATTTGGTCTAATTGTTACAGCTGCGATCGGTGCTCTCTTCCTCTCCTCAACCTTTCTCTCTCTTTCTCCGCCTCTTGCCCGCTCAGCTGCCAATTTGCGCTAGCTCACATGTTCGAAATGAACGGAGAAACGATGAAAAAACAGCTGCGCACTGTCCTCCTCCTCTTTGCCTCCCCCAGCTCTTTGCTTATCGCCAGGTTGCCTAATCAACATTTTTCGTGTTCATAGTTGAAATGAAATCAGCTGTACCGGTATATTCGTATCATCAGATGGTTTTGGTTTTGGTGTTTCCTTGCTTCTATTTACACGCTTCCTCTTTTCTTTTATTTTTTTTTCTATCTATTTCTACCTGAGACTCGCACACAATAACAAGTGTGAGAAATGTGGAAAACAAGGAAAAGTGTAAGAAAAGTAGAGGATAGCAGTGAAATGTACAGTTTTAGAGGTGTAAAATTCAATTGCTGTACGTTTGATACTTATAAAAATGTTTAGCTATTCCTTGAAATAATAAGCACGAATTTCTTACTGGATTATATTCACTTTCTTTTCTTATTTCTCCGATCGGTTTGCGAATATATTATAGCCTACCCTTGTTTTCCGCAGCGAAAGTTAATACTCGCTCGCTTGTGGCCGGCGCTTATCAGAATCATATGGTTGCCTTTTCGCACACGTCACTAGCAGCGGCGGCGCCTTTTCTTATCGCCACAAGCATATGTTTTTTATTCGCACAACCACACACTCTGAATTGCGAATACACAAACCCACACTTAGCCAGCGGGAAAAGCACCCACACTGGCGCACTCAATCCCTAATTGCGCATTCAGCTGATGGCTCTTTTCAAGGCTTTTATTTTATTTTTGTTGGTCGCCTCCCATATACCGGGAATTTTATATTAAATCCGATTTCCATGGCTTTTTTATTATTAGTGCAAACCTATGACTTACAATGGGTAACAAAGTATAATTGCTTATTTTGACTCATCCTCAAAGTTCATAGGAAACCAATCGATGTCAGGATGTATCCTGCTCACCTCGTAAATGCAAATTCGTACATTAAAATAAATAAATATATTACAATTAAATTAAAATAATAATAAACAATAAAAACAATATAATAAATTGTAATATCTAATACATATTTTTAATGATAAATGAAATTAAAAAATTTTCTTATATCTTTAGTGTACAAAATCGTATATTTTAAAGTTTTAGAATTCTAATTAAAATATTAAATAATCATCACTTTTTTTCAGGTAGGCAGTTTTTTTTTATTAAATAATTATTTCAACGTTTCTTTTTATAATTTTTGAGACATTAAAAGTTTTAATTTAAAACACATGGGGCCGGAAATAACTGTTAAAAAGCATCACGATCTGTAGGAGGTGGCTTTGTTATTTCGGCCCCCAGTGTGGGCGGTATAACACAACTGCGTTTTAGCAGCTGCTGTTCGCTGTTTGGATATTGTTGTTGCTTTTGCTGGTGCTAAAATAAAAGAGCGTGCCTTGGCTAAAAGTCTCCAATCTCATTCTCCACTTCTTCACACGTTGCACATTGGCAAAAATACTACGAGAGTCATTTCCGTTTTTACCCCACTCGACTGGAAATGAGGAGTAATGACAGCCAGAGAGAAAGAGCGACCGAGCGCCAGCAGTCTGGAAGTATTGGATGTTTTAGCATCCACAACTTCCCTTTCTCTGCCGCTCACTCGCTTGCATTTTATAAGAGCCGCTCCCCAGCGGCTCCAAGTATATAAGCGAGAGCGACAGAGTGCGCGCTATTGAGTTGCACTCAAAAAAGCTTGATGGAGCGAGAGAGAAGACAGCAGAGAGCAGCACTCTCTGGATTCGCAAAAGTACAGATGCCGCCACACACATTTGAATGCTTTCTGTTTTTACTACCACACACGTTTCATTGAAAAAACATATACACAAAAGCTAAACCTAAAAAGCCGCTGCAAATTTGCGAATCTGAAAAAAAACCTGAGAGACAGAAAGAAAGAAACCGAAGCGAACTGAAAACTAATACCAACACATGGCTAAAAATCTGCTGCGCAAATTTTTGGGCGATGGCTCCGTGTGTGTTTCACATGCCAAAACGTTTCATTTTGTTTTCATTTCGTTTCGTTTCATCGTCTTTTTTGCATGCGGCATTTTATATTGGCAACCTGCGAGCGACCGAGATGGAAAAACGGCGTGCAAAAGAGATGAAGAGCGCGCCGTGGCTCTTGTTTATGAAAAACACATGATTTTTGTGTACAACACTTTTAGGAGCATTGGCGAAGGAGAAGAGCAGGAGGATGAGGGGATAGCACAACTACTACTACTGCGCTACTATACAAAATAGTATTCCCTTTCTTTCCTTTCTCGTTGCATATTCTGGACCTCTCCAATTACAATCTCTAAAAGTTTTTAAGTTAAGCAGCTTTTGCTTATAAAGGTGCTATATTAATTTAATTTCCGCGAAATAAAACTGGAGTGTAGATTTTCGTTTACGATGTGATATTTAAGTGAGCCTTTTTCGTAAAACTAATTTTAAATGTTTACTGGATTTATTTTCGTTCTTAATTTTTAAAGGGTTTTTGTAATATATTTTAATAAAATACTCTTAGAAAAGTCAACACCTGGCACCAACTCTGTTTTCAATCTTAAGCTCATTTATTTCCTTTGTTTTTACCTCTCCCGTATACAATTTCTGCTTAATCTTTTCCCTTTGCTTTGTTTATATATTTATTGCAAAATGTGGCGCCAACTGGCAGACGCAACTGTAAAATGAGAAATGTAAGGAGCGGAGCAGAAAGGGGGAATTCTAATTTGATCATTAGTTTATGGGTTGCACAGTTACGCAAGTGGTAAGGTTTATTGCGTTGCATTTCATTTTTCTCTTGCTTCGCACAGTACACAGTCTGCGCCGTAAGTTTATGTCCATCGTTTCGCACTAACAAATCCGAATAGCTGGGGATTTCCCCGAGTTTTTATTGCGTACTTGCTGGATTCCTAACATATAGCATTGACATAAAGTCAATCATGGATATTTTAATTAAATTTGAGAGGTATTAAACAATTCCAATTACAAATACTCTTTTAAAAATTCTAAATATAAATCAAAATTTAAATTTAATTTTAATTTTTTTGCTTGAGATACATTTAAATGTAAATGGAAACACCTGGGTTCCCTTTCAGTGATCCCCTTTTTTCTCAATCTCTCTACTCCCCATGTTCCCGTTTGGGAAAAGCCAACCACATCGGTCTAGAATTTTCCCTAAAGCGTAAATTGCACCTTCTGACAAGAGAAAGGTGCAAAACGATATACATTCATTAGATTGGGGGGCTACCTTATCATTTTGTTTACTTTATTCTCGGGTTATATAATTGCATGTTTATCTTTTATGAATCGAATGTGCCGCCGACTGCTGCAACTCCCTTACGAAATTCCAGTGAAATGATGACGTAAGCGGTGACCCAATAACAGTATGTACAATTTATGTGCAAAGTGCAACAGCAGTTGTCGGGTGTGATGGTGAGTGGGTGGCACTTCCCAGTGCTGCTCGGTCGGTGGGCAGCGTGAGGTGGGCACTACTCTCGATGGTGCTCGTGACTTCGGCTTTTGTATCTCTCTCTTCTCCTCCCAGGTTTATCACTCGTATCTTCTCTATGTATTCGCTCGGGCGAAAAAGTGGCCAATGAACTACATTGAACTCTGGGCCACGAGCAGCGCTGCAGCAGCAGGCTGTCAGCTGTCGTTGGTTGGACGGTCATATGTTATTATTATTATTATTCCCTACATGTAGATACTCTATATCTTAAACACCTCGAAATATGCGTAATTTCAAAGGCAAGCTACTTTTAAAAGCGTTTTTCTAGCAGCGTCTATATTTGAATTTGATTTTCAGTAAACAGCTGTTGCAATGCCTCTAATGGGAAACAAGGAAAGTGCTAAAATAGATCCATTGAAGAGCCCAGAAAATCTAGATAATACCAGAATAGTTTTCCAAGAAAAGCATTCATCAGAAGTCAATCAATGAAGGATAATCGACCTGAATTTTTGATACATTTTATAAGGGTAATACTTTAAAATCTCTAGATATCACGAGAAGTTTCTCTAGCAAACCAAAAGGTAAAAAGAAACATTTTAAGATGAGAATTTATAGTTTAAATAATTAAATATATATTTTTGAATTAATTTAATGCTCAATGAACCTATTCAGAACAGTTAAAATATTTATACATACAATACGTATCTTTCCATTCTTTTGTATGACTTTGTCTCACTTTAAGCTGCTTGCATTGCTGGAATAATTATTCTGGGCCTCATAAAGTACCAAAATATATGTATGTACATGTGTACCGCCCCCCGCCTTTCCATCGGGAACAGCAAACAACGAAAGCACGAACAGATGTTGCTACCATATGCAGCATGCAACATTCTCCGCGCGGTTTTCATTCAGCGTTTTTCGGCTTTTATATTGTGCAAACAAAAACAAACGAGATGCCAAAAAGCTGGTGGCACAAGTGCCGAGATCCGAGATCCGAGCCACATTCCATTGGCCTCTTGCAGCTTCGCTCTGCTGCTGCCTCTTGCTGCAACATCCACAACATCCGCCTACCGCCGCCGCTGTTGACCAACTTTGGCTGCAGTATGGCATTCGGCGTCGTTTCCCGTCTCTATCGCGCACTTGCCGCAAAAATGCTGCCGGAGAAAAACGACCTTTGTATGATGTTGCTAAAAATAAACCCAACTAGCGAGACGGCGTCTCTAATACAGTCTAACATCAGTAACTCAGACTTGCTTTATACAAACTGCTTTGCTTAAGCTTTATTTGGCTTGATTTTTGTTAGAAACTACTGATTATGAATTAATTTCAGTATTGAAATTAATGAACTGATTTTTTAAAAGATTGGTATAAATATAAATAAACCTTGTTATTAAAAATGTTGATGGTATAATTTTATATTTTTAATGGACTTTATTATTATAAATCATTCTGCTCATCATCCTGATTAGCAGGTGAAAACTATCTTAGCACAACGGTGTCTTAAAAATATTCCAAAAATAACAAAGTCGAGATTAGAAGTTCAAAAAAATTCCTATGATTAAATTCGTTCTACGCGAGTCGTACTGTGATTTTTCTAGCATCGTCTTGGAAAACCATAGGCAGCAGCGTGGTTCTTGCCTCGGAATGCAGTGTTGCAAGTTTTAACTCTCTAGCGATGTTATTGTTAGTGTTGTTGTTCTTGCTGGCAGAGCATACCATTGTGAAAATTGTTTTCATTAGCCTGCAGGCAACAGAGCAACGGCAGCAAAGACTTTGGAAAACGTGTTTCGTGGGGGTAAACCGGTTTGGAATTCTTGTGAGACCTCGCGTCTTCGAGACTCTGGATGATCGTACATAACCTAACATATCGGCTGCAGCATATGTATGAACATACATACATACATATACATAGTTTAAAAACCCCGGACAACGAAGACGAGGAAGAGGTGCTGCAAAATAATACGAACCAAAAACCCAAAGCAAACCTAAGCGAACCAAATCGAACGAACAAAAACCGACAAAACAGAAAACTGAAAACGAAACAGAAACAGAAAACAACAATCACGACAACTACCGGCGATGGTGGCAACAATAACAAAAAGAGGAATGCCCATACTATTGACAGCTGTGCTAGCTCTCTTTCTCCAGCTCTCCAACCCGTCTTTCTCTCTCGCACTCGGTCCTCTCTTACATGTTGCTGATGCCATGTGTGTGTAGTGCAGTAGTGGATGCCCTAACAAAACTGTTAGGATACATCTGTACTTCCATCAAGTTAGTTTTATTTATTGTTAGGTTGGTTTTTGAAAATATTAATTTTGGGTTAATAACATGTATCTTTAATAACAATAATTAAAAAAATATATGAAATTATAGCTTAATTTAATTTAATATATTATATTTGCATATTACAAAATCAAATACTTTACGCGTTTAAATGATTAACTACGCAAAGATTCCTTAAGGAAAAATTAATCAAATCAATTCCTATTGTGTAGAGATAGGTTAGGGTATTCGGGTATTCTCATTAATCCACTTTGCTTCAGTCAGATGCTGCTGCTAACGTGACAACAACAGAGTTTGAGCCTATGTGTGTGTGGCTCTCTGTTGTTGTTATGCTGTTGTTGGTGCTGCTCCGTTGCTGTGTAGCGTTGGCGGGTTAAACTAAAATTGAATTGAATGGAATTGTAAATTTATGAATGAATGAATTTTTCAGCGCTTTTGTGAGCAGAGCGAGCATGTGTCTTTGTGTGAGTTCGTGTGGTCGTCGTGGATTGTATAAATGTAAAAGTTAATTGGTTTTATGTATGGGCGACCGATAAGCCAGCCAAACGCTATAAATAATACAGTAGATATTACCACAGAGAATATCTTGATAAGGCAGATAGAAAACAAAAAGAATTTTTATTAGTATAAGAAAAAGAATTTTAAACTATTTTAAAAGTATTTCAAATTTCTGTGACTCTTTTTGATCGTAACTTAGTGAATCATAAGTTTCTTCGAAGGGGATATGACTTTTTACAAACTCTGACTAATTTATCTTTCTAATATTTTCTTTCAGATTACAACTAGAGGATTCAGGGGGCGAGAATACGTATCACATCGAGTATACTAGCGAGCCGGCCCATCAGATCTCCGGTTCCCAGCGGCGCCAATCGAGCATGAGCGGTACCAACACCTCAAAGGGTGGAGGGGGTGGCGGAGGAGGCGGAGCGATTAGCGATGGTGACTGCTCCGGAAAACCAATGCAGGACAGCGAAAAGCGAATGCGACGTGAAATCGCCAACAGCAACGAAAGGAGACGGATGCAGAGCATCAATGCCGGCTTCCAGAGCCTGCGATCTCTGCTACCCAGACACGAGGGCGAAAAGTTGAGCAAGGTAAGTTACATACATACTACTATGTATTAGGGGCTAAGCTAATATGTGATCTATAGAGATAGAAGTTTTTATAATCCTAAAAATAGAAATTGAACAAGTTTTTTGAGTTATAGATTTGTTTAAATTTAACGCTTTTTATTAAATTCCATTTGAATGACGAATATAAGGGCTTGATCCGAGAACAACACTTTTAGATGTGAAAAACAACACAATTATAATTATTTTGTATTATAGCTCATTAAAACTAAATTTTTTCTGCACGCTAATATGTTACATCCTCTTATAAAAAAACTTCGAAATGAGATATTCTTGTTTCATGGACAAGTCTGGTTCCGAAATCAAAACTTAGGGTAAAAATGATAATATTTGCAATAATTTCCACAAATCGGTTATTAGTAAGAAGTCAAATTTAAAGATCTGTAGTATGGACGTGTGAAAATTATTACCCCTGGTCAGTTTCCGATCGGTCAGCCAGTTTTTCTGTGTTGTCGGCAGCCCATCAAAATGAACATCAACACCATTTTCGGCCAGAGATCCGAGTCTGTCGGTATCTCAGCTGTCTCCTTTTGATTTCTTACCCCTTTTTTTAACCCGTGGCACGCAACTCCAATTACATTTAACCAGAGGCCGAGCCGAACTGGAGACTGAGCTTGGGTTTTTCGGTCTTGGGCCTCAATTACAGGGCCGTCCACAAACACATGTTGACAAATTGCCGACGACGACGACTCCTGGTAAAAAAAAAAAACAAAAAGAGGCAAAGGCAAAACCAGCACACACGCAACTTGGCTAAAAGCTTCCAGCTGAGAAAAAAGTGAATGACGGTTGTTGGGGGTGGATAAAATGTGGGGCCGGCGAAGGTGCTGAAGCTTTGAAGGTCCCTTTTTGACATTTAGTCGTCAGGGCAACCGTGTCGGCGGCGTCGTCGTAGTCATCGTCTCAATTGTTTGTTGTTGGAGGCGTTTCGCTTTTTCCTTTTACGCCGCACATATTTCGTTTAGCTTTATTTTTGCATACACATGCTCTCATATTTATGGGATTTTCACCTTGAGACGACATCGATTTGTTGTGACGCGTGTGTAGTAAACGGCCAAGAAGAAGCTGAAGCTGGCCGGTGGAACGAACGGCCTTGGTAGTGGGGTGTTGGCTGGGCTTAAGCATTTACTGCTGGACTGACACGTTTTCAAGTGCTCAAAGGTCCTACGGAGATATTTCTTTCGAACATGTCTACCCCTCATTTTACCGCAATTAAGTTAGCAGACGGCTGTAAATCAACGAAATTGTCAGATTACAAAAAGAAAAATGCGAGTTCTTTCTTTTCTTATTTATGGTTGTATATGTTTGTCTGGTGTTGTAAAGAAAAACAATGGCCACAAAACATTTAAGACCTTACAAATTATAAAGAAAGTAATATAGTAAATTATATTATTATACATATTGAATTATGGAGGAGTAAGGATTAGGAATCACAAACTTAAAGCAAGATTAATTTACAGATACAACAGATAAGAAAGCAACTTAATGCAATACTAAAATTCATTCAAAATCCTTTTATTTCCTGTTGATTAAAATATTGTAAAAAACAACTAGTTCTTAATATAGTCACAAGTCTTAAGTTTGAAACAAACTCTTGTGTTCAACACTACCCCCGTTTCACTAATCCCTTTCCAACACTACCTTTTCATATTTGGTAGTTTCCCTCGTTTCGTGGATTTTCTTCTTAGCTTTTAGCCAAGGCTCGCTCTTATTTATTGCAAATTGAAAAGTGTCAACTGATACTTGGCAATGCTCGTAAATCAGTCTCTGGCCCCAAAAAAGAAAGGCGATAACAGGCAAGCACAAGAGAAACAGTGTAATAATACGCAGCAGCAAGCAGTATAAACAAGGCAAGGAGGAGAAAATGCAAACAGGAAGAAAGGCTTGGCGCGTAAATATTAAAAATACTACGACAGGCGAAAAGGAAAAGGGGTAGGAGCAACAGCAAAAGCCAGGAGACGACAGCGCCTGATGAATGACATAATGGGCGTAGACAGAGATGCATAGCGGATATGAGAGTAAGGGAGAGAAAAATAGGAAGAGTGGAGAAGAGGGCGGACTAGTGCAAGTAGTTTATGGATTTTTGTTCTATGCACTTCGTCAACGGCGACGATTACAAACGATGCCTGCCTCCTCTCGCCTGTCACACATAGTAAACATTGTAGTAAATACGTGTGAAAGGGAAGGCTGAACGCAATGGGAAAGAGAAGGGAATATGGTGCAGTGGGAGAGAATGGGCGTTGGAGAAAGAGAAAACTGCAAAGCTGCTTGACCAACTTTACGCCACCATGTACATAAATTGCTAAGATCCAAAATATAAGAACATCGTAATTTCAAACTCTGTTTTTTTACTTTCTGGATCAACAGGACTCTATGTGACAGAATGAAAGTAGATCGCTCGAATCCGCAACATAATTCCTTCACGTACATACTCTCAAACAATTTGTACATAAATAAATACATATGTATGCAGATTAAATACAACCAACATTCCTATGCACACACACACATTGCTCGACAAAAGTGCGACAAAAATTGCAATGCTAGCTGACAGAAAGCTGCAACGACTGAAACCATTCACAGGTTAGGCACACGCACATAACGGTACATGGCAGAGACACTCGAGCAGCACACATACTGCCACGCCCTAAGGTGGGCGGAATGGGAGGGGGGAATATAGCGAATGCAAGCCTGTGATTTATACTCTCGGCTCTCCTCTCTCTTTTAGCACTCTGCACTCTTCCTCTCTCGCCCACTGTTTGGCGGCGGGTCATTGAACTTGCGCGCTAGGTGGCGCTAAAGTGCAAATGTGCAATTGCGTACAGTTGCCCCCATTGTTGTTATTGTGACTACTCGAAAAGTACACTGCAAATAAAAAAATGACCTTTGATACAATTATATGAAAATTATAAAAGTTTAAGCTTCTGAAAAGGCAATTACCTGGTTTACATAAACCAAGAAAACAAAAGTTTGGCTATTTTGGGGTGAACTGTTTAACATTGAGTTCTTCCCAACTGTATTGGTACCCACGTTAAATTAAGAAAAAGATCAGCAATGGATACCAATAAAGAATACTAGCCGTCTTCCAAAACAGCTTTCATCACATGCTGCACCCGATTGCAAACTATTTCTTACCGTGTTGAGATTTAGGCGCGCCCCAGCTGAACTAACCTACATTAAAGTGGGTGGGGAGGTGTTCACTGTACACAGTACACACCTTGCCCAGACAGAGAGAGAGAGGGAGAGAGCGAGCGAGAAAAGGCGCGGGACTGACGCAAAGCTGGAAAATTTTCTATATACAATACAATATCGATTCCTTTCCAGTGGCTGCCGAAGAAAAGCGCGCGCCAAACGCAAAGCTGAAGCTACCCCCGACAGAAGATGTGATAGAAGAGGATGTGGGATGGGCGTGGGATGATGGGATGGATAGGACAATGGCGCCAACATTCAGTTCGCCTGCTGTGCTGATGGGAGCCCACACCACTCGCACAGCTGTGGAAAGTTGGGGGGCTGTGCTGGGAGCTTCTTGTGGGTGGTTTCCGGGAGTGTTTCATTGCCATTTCATTTCCAGCGTTTTTGGCGTCTGTCTGGCGCCTGGTAGGCAGCTGTTTCACAGCCGATGACGATTCCAAATGGAACGACGGGTGGCGACCGGTCCTCCCCCAATCCTCCTGTACAGAAAATGGGCATTCAGCTTGGCAGCTGCGCACTACGGTTGTTGGCCCGGCAAAATCCGATTTTTTTTTTGTTCCTTCCACCTTCAAGTCCGGACTCTGCTGGACAGGGGCGTGGCACTGGGCGGGCGGAGGTCGCTGGGTGGCGTTGCAGTGCACTAGGCCATTGGCATCTGGCAACCTTTTGCAGATGGAGCAGAGCAAAAAGCGGGATTGCAGCTGAAGAAGAGACTGCGATGCAATGCGGACGACTTCTGGGCCATGCCAACACCCAGTTTGGAACAACAGTACATGGCCAGCATAAATAGGGTTATATAACCCACCATTTACCGTACATATGTGCATCTACATGGAGCACATTGTGTGTAGCCTGTACTTTCAATTGCATTTCGTAGTAAAAAATGCCTACACTACCTACCCCCCGCTCAAATGCCTAAAAAAAAGAGCAGGTGTAAGAATATCGTAGTATGGAGTATGTAGAGCAGCAGCCACAAAATGCAATTAATGGAGCCGTGCTGTTTGTAATTTGAATTATTTTTATGCTTCAGTAGGTAAATTTAATTAAAAACCGCACTTTTGCCTAATTACTTAATGTATTTCGTGGTGTTCAGCATCGTTGAATGAAAAGGAATTTAGATCCGGGTTACGTTATAGTCATTTTATGGCACCCAAGGGCATATTATTTGAAGAGCGATAAAAATTCCTACTGAAATTCACTTAAAATGTAATACATTTTGGTCAATTTCTCCAACGGCTTAAAATATTAACTTTAGAGGAAAGCAATTGCATATTAATATTAGGTCAGGGCGATAACTTATCGATAGGCAGTACTTCGAGACTTTCGCAGAAGAATGCATCAGCAAAGAGAAAGCAGAGACAAGCGGTGGCCTAGCCAAAAGCAACAAGAAGAAAGAAAAAAAAAAGCATAAGTGCAATGGATCAATTACTTTGTGGGCAGACAGAGTGAGATGAAGGTAGTCTTTTTTTTTATATACGTTTATTATTTATTAACTACACTTAACAAATACTATACAACAAACAAACTAGGTATTGACGGGGCCAAGGGCCCGCATTGTGCGGTACGGCCGCAAAGCAATGCTTCGCACAATAGAAGGCCGCTCAGCCAGTCCGCTCGTTTCGTACTCTCTCCAGCGACCTGAGGGATTTCATCAGCTTAGCTGCGAATTCCGCCACCGCATCCCACGTCCTTTGGTTCGACAGCATCAACGGCACCAGAGTGTCTACCCTGATCGCTGACCCCGCTACCGCCTCCAGCTCGTCCCTCTCCTCGTC